TAACAACAAAGCCATATTTTTCGCGCCAGCATTCGGAACAGAATTTTTTGAATTCATCAAATTTCATATCGCAATTCACGCCGAAATCATCATAAGCATGCCTTAAATTCATGTCATCTTGCTTGAATAATATGAGAAAATTGCAATTATCGCGGATTAAATGTTTACTCAACTTAGTAAATGTCTGGGTTAGGTAAATTACATCCGTGTCATAGTGTCGTCCCATGCAAAAAAGTTCACGTACTTTATCTTGATTTTTCTCGCAAATCACATCATCAAAAATGATCACGGAGTTACGTTTGGCTTCACTCGGCGCGATGACATCATCCATTGATGAAAATGTATGATAGCCGACTTCTTTAATTGGAGTCAAAATGTCTGATAAATATTTGTATTTGTCTTGCTGTAGAGTCTTCGAATAAACATATAAATTTTCAAATTTAATCCCATTCTCTGATTCAATCAATCCTAAAAGCAGATTAGTCTTTCTAATATAAAGCAATATCATCTAAATTCCTCACTGGGATATCTAGAGCATGTTTGGTGAAACGCATCTTGATTTAAACTGAGCGTACCATATATAAATAGGCGATATATATACGAGCAATCAATCACGATTCAATCATTGATGAGTGAACATCTATTATGGCTCATCTAAAGGCCGCCAAGAAATCTAAGAAATTGCATAAGGTGAAGTCTAAACATGGTAACGGACTTCTCGATACATTAATAGACAAACTTCCATTTGAATTACATTTGCCATCATATCAATATTGTGGACCTGGTACAAAATTAAAGGAGCGATTAGCACGCGGTGAAACTGGTATTAATAAATTAGACGAATTTTGTAGAGAACACGACATCGCTTACGCAAATAATAAAGATTCAGCCGAGCGATTAAAGGCTGATAAAAAGTTAGGTTCAGAAGCATTTAAAAGAGTGTTTTCAAAGGACGCTAAATTCGGAGAACGCGCAGCATCATTGTTAGTGTCAGCAGCTATGAAGGCGAAAACGGGGTTGGCTAAGGTTGGGTTGGGCATGTCGAAATTAAACTGCCGCAAAAAAGTGAGAAAAATCAAGAAGTCATCGAAAGAAATCGATTTTGCGACTCTTGTCAAAGATGCTAAAATGGGCATGAAAAAATCAAAAAGCAAGAAGATTGATTCGACAATCAAAGCAGCAATTCGATCGGCAAAAAAATCGGTAAAAGGGAAGCTCATTAAAATGCCGAGAGTTTTAAAAGTGCCGAAATTCACCGGAGGTGTTCTACCGATTTTGCCAATTTTAGCTGGATTGAGTGCGATTGGTGCACTCGTTGGATCTACTGCCGGAGTCGTGAAAACAGCGAAAGACCTAAAAATCGCACAAGAATTTTTAGATGAGAATAAAAGACATAACAAAGAAATTGAGATGAAAGTCGGAAAGGGCTTATATTTGAAACCATATAAAACAGGCAATGGAAAAAGCCGTTTTCAAAAAACGGTTAAAATCGCTTCCACGAGATCGACCGCTTAGCAATCATGACATATTAAATTTTGTTGAAATGTTAAAAATTCCACATTTTCGAGGGGTTTTTATGCGTGACAATATGCCCAGAAAGCCATCAAAAATTGAATGTTTGGTATTGAATCATGATAGCGTTCGATCCCGCGGAAGCCACTGGACTGCACTCACGAAAATTAATAATACCGCATGGTACTTTGACTCATTTGGTGACTTATTACCCCCACTTGAAGTTAAAGAATATTTGGGTGAAAATGTGCGAATCCTATTAAATTATAACCGCTACCAAAAGTATGATACCATGGTATGTGGTCAGCTGTGCTTGAAGTTTTTATATAACTTTTGGAGTTCTATAAATACGGATGCATTTTCATGATTGTCTTCAGTAACAGTTTCGCAATCATGTCGTCGTTTACAGTATCTCTGACCGGCAATTCATCAAATTTAACCGCACATTCACATTCTTCCCTGAGCTAGTTTTAGATGAAAAATATGATTATTCATGCGGTTTATTGGATTTCACCACATATCATTCTATCCCAAATATAACAGATAAAAATAACAAATTTTATTATGATAAAGGCGTTGAGGGGAACATGGATTTCCACATCATAAATGTGCCTCCTGGTTGCTATGAAGCTGAGGATGTGCTCGACTATATAAAGGACGAATTAAAAGCAGACGGCGTCAGTTTTGAATATAAAATCAACAAGAACACGTTTAAAACAACATTCAAGTGCTCCGCCAAAATTGTATTCGGGTTTGCGGAGTCAATTTACGAGGTTTTTGGTTTTAAAGGTGCATATGGGCAGCAAATTCATGAGAATACATACCACGAATCTGAAGACGTCATAAAAATCTCTAAATTAAACGTAATTAGAGTGGAATGTAATATTGTGACGGGGGCCTATGTAAATGGTAGATCGTGTCATTCAATATATGAATTTCCAAGCAATAAAGTGGACGTGGGCTATAAAATTATTGAGCAACCTCGACATATAATTTATTTGCCGATTATTCAAAAGCGTATAGGACTCATTCAAATTTCAATTGTCGATCAAGACGGTGACCCGATTGACTTTCGAGGTGAGGATATCACGTGTCGAATCCACATAAAAAGAAACGAGAACTAGACCAGAAAAATGTTAATTTATAACAAGCAAAATAATCTCAATCCATTTGGATTTGGTGATATAAATGAGAACACAGTTGGTGTTAAAAACATTCAATCGCAAGCTATCAAGCGGATAACATCGCGTAAGAGCTGTTCAAAGAAAAAGTTGTTGAAAAAAAATATTGAATTTTTGAGGTCATTGGGATTCACAGTAAAAAATCATTAGAAATGGCAAACATTTTAAGTATTGGCGATCTACCGATGCAAGACAACACAATAATTCATAATCAATATCATACGTATTCGCCTTATACCTCTTCATTCGACAATAATGATGAGATTAGGATCGCAATCCAATCTCAAAACGTATATGTGTTACCATCTGAAAGCTATTTATTCCTCGAAGTTGAAGTTTCTCGCAAAACAGGTGATGAACATGCTGATGTTGCGGGAAGGTGGACTGCAAATTATGCGGCCTACCTTTTCAGCGAAATACGTTATGAATTGAATGGCACTGAAATTGATCGTACAAAAAATGTTGGTCTCGCTTCGAATATGAAGAGATTTTCGGCGACGCCAAGCCCCCGAAACTGCTCTTTAATAGCCGTTCATAATGGTGCTGTATTGAATGTGGCAACCTATTCATTAGTCCTGCCTATAAATCAGCTTCTAGGATTCTGTGATGACTATAAAAAAATGATTTTAAACGCCAAACATGAACTGGTTTTGGTTCGTAATCGCAGAGATATATACTCGTATATGGCAGCTAGTGAATCGTTCAATATAAAAGTGAAAAAAATTCAATGGAAGGTGCCACATATCACGCTGTCGGATGAAGCCAAACTCGCGATGCTACGATATTTGGAGAAAAAGCAAACGATCAGTATCCCTTATAGGTCGTGGGACTTATATGAGATGCCGCAGTTACCTCAGAGCAGGAGACATATTTGGACCGTCAAATCGACGACTCAAATTAGCAAACCACGATACGTCCTCGTCGTTTTTCAAACTAATAAACAGATTGTGAGCGCTAATTCGGCCGCGTATGACAATTGTGATATTTCCGATGTTAAGTTGTATTTAAATTCGGAGTACTATCCATATGACAATTACAATTTGGACTTTACTAGCGGCAATTATCAAGAGCTGTATCATTCATTTTTGCAAATTCAATCATCATATTATCAGGGGCATGGTACTTCAGATAGCAATTCATGTGCATTGACATTTGATCAGTTTGGTACCAGTCCGATTTTCGCTTTTGATTGCTCGAGATCAGAGGAATCATTAATTGGTGGTACGGTTGACGTTCGATTGGAAATTAACGCACGCGAAAACATACCAGCCAATACTGCTGCATATTGCTTGATAGTTCACGATAATCAAGTCGAATATTCGCCATTCAGTGGTATTGTTGTTAGAAACACGTAAACAATGAGCAAGCTACAAGTTGTCAAGGAGATACATCGCGATGCGCGAAAACATTACCCAAGACGCCGCAACGTTATGCGCGGAATTTGTGACACACTGCAAGCAGATTTAATTGAGCTACCTCCTGATCGTGGATTTAAATATTGCCTAACCACCATCGATACATTTTCAAAAGTAGCGTATGCAGTCCCGCTTAAAACAAAGACTGGACGTGAGGTTACAGAGGCGATGAAATCTATTTTGATTTCAACGAAACGACCGGTAAAGAACATATGTCTAGATTTAGGGCGGGAATTCTACAATAAAGAGATGACGCGATTATTGAATAATTACAACATTAATCGCTATTCGACTTTCTCTAACTTGAAAGCGAGTACGGTAGAGCGCTGGAATAGAACCCTCAAGAAATTTTTTTATCAATGCTTCAGTTTGAATGGCAATTATAAATGGGTTGATATTATTCAAGAATTAGTCAACGAGTACAATTCAACCAGACATCGAACAATTAAAATGGCCCCAAAAGACGTGGATTCTGATCATGAACAAGAACTACTGGACACTGTTTATAATTATAAATGCATCATTCCGCCGAAAAGCATCAATAAATTTAAGATAGGAGACCATGTTAGATTAAGTAAATATAAGCATGTTTTCGAAAAAGGCTATCTCCCATCATGGACGACCGAAGTTTTCACCATCAGAAAAATTCAATTTACCGACCCAATCACTTATTTATTAACTGATTGGGAAGGAAACGAAATCAAAGGTGGTGTTTACACAGAAGAAATGCAACTAGTTAAAAATCCAAACATTTACCTAGTTGAAAAAATTCTTCGCAAGAAAAACGGCAAAGTGTATGTAAAATGGCTTGGTTTCGACAACAAATATAATAGCTGGATAAGTGAAAATGATGTAATTTAAATTGAATTTTTAATAAAGAAAAACACACAACTTTTATTATTTAACAAAATATATGTTTTTTATTTACTCTTTTGCAATTTTACAGATTATGCTTACATCTAAATCTTATATTATTTATGATTATGTCCGGAAACATCTATCGCAAAATTTAATGGCATCTCCACTTGTACTACGTGATTCTTTTTTAAAACGATCCAATCAATCAAATCTGCGCATGTGGGGCATTATAATGCCCCCATGCGAGAGTTTCAACGTTATCAGGTAGAACATGTCTTTTATCGTCATCATGACTAAGAGCCACCTTCTCCTGTCTAATAGAATACATCTTATGCAGCTTAGTGCGAAATGAATTCTGGTTTTTGATAATAGAACAATTTTTAGTCAAACATTCAAAATAATCATCAAATTTAATCTCTTTTTTTATGATGTATTTTTTTACGCCCTTAGCCTTTTTCATTTTATCTATACTATTCTTCGTTCGTACACAATACATTTTACTGCGTATACCTATTTTTTTGGTTATAATTTCACCATTCAACTCGTCCTTAAACAGACCAGGCACCTTCTTGTTCACGCGGGGCATGTTGTATGGATTATCCTCTTTGTAGTCGCTGGTGTCGAATTTCTCTAAATGCTGTTTCATATCATCATAGAAGTTTTCGCAGCTTATTTTATAGATAAAACTGTCAGTGTCGGTGTACGCAAGTTGGACTTTATCACCATATTTGGACTTCATAAAGTTATAGTGAAAGTCATACATAACGACTTTGGATATATCCAATATCGCGAGCCCCACCACAATCGGTTTATTCATGAGCAAACTTGTTTTTTTCAACTCGATGGCAACCAAGTCTTCATCAAAAATTGTGCGTCGCTTGAAATTCGGTTTCGCTATGAGCATACGTGCTCCAGATCTTCCACCCCACTGCGACTTCAGTTTGATATCAACGCGAGATCGCAGATTTTCCATCGTTTTCCCTATAACAATAATATGAAATAAGGATTGGTTAATATATTACATTTAATGCGTATGGAGATATGATCATTATGAGGAGACATTCACTTACCAAAAATAGCATTGCAGAGAAGTTTGAAGAAATTCTTTTCAAAATCATTAGTAGCTCGCGTTCTCATTTCCGTGTTCAGCTGAATGTAAGGCTTGAGCCAGGCTGTTTGGTTGAACTGCAGGACACGATGTACTTTCCTCAAAACTAACCCATGCTGAAGAGCCAATTTCAGCATTCTGTAGTGGATCACATAATTTTTTTTATCATAAAGAGTCAAAAGCAATTTCTTTACACCTTTTTTGCCTGGAACGTGCATATTTTGAGCGCAAAACGGGTAATCATTATGTAAATCATGCAACTCTTTCGGATAATCGAGATCTACTTCGAAAACATAGCCAATATCAGCATCATCTTTAAGATTCAGAATTGTCTCTCGATCAAATTTAACATCAGACCATTGAAAATTATTATGTGGTAAATGCTGCATCATCGAATGGCCATATAAGTTATTGGCGTCGAGGTACATGATATAGCTGGTTTCTTTATTTGGATTATAATTATCCATGAATTTATTATTAGCTTGAATGTATCGCGTACTGCATTGGCTTATGCCTCCGCGAATTCCACGTTCAACGAACATGAGCATGTCGACATCCGTAAAGAGCTCAAGTTGAACATTTGTATATCGTAGCATGGCATCGAAAGAAAGTCCGGGAGCTGTATAGTAGTTCGCTGGATCTAATTTATAAATATTTTGGCATGTTTTACGGAAATTTTCAAACACATCTGCCAATAAAAGCACGTCAGTCTTTAAGTAGAGGTCGGAATATTCACCTAAGTCTTTTATATTAAATTTATCCCACACCTCTTTCGCGAAATCGTAATCTTTATCAGTAATCGAGCTGTTAGTCAATGTACTATGGAAAGCCTCTTTGGATGGCAGCGATGTGTCATTTAGTTTTTCCCAGCTGTCAATGTAATCATAGCAAAAAATGCCCTTTCTCTCCAATAATTTCAGCTGCTCTTCACTCAAGTGCTTACATTCGGTCCTCAGAATACGCTTTTTCTCTGATGGAATCAAGGATGAAAGAGTATCCAGTGAATCAGCCATGAATCGAAATGAATCGATGAACCTCAGTTTGATGTCCTCTTTGAATGGCTGGGCCGTCCCCTCAACGGTTTTTGAAAAAGATATGTACCTTTCCGTGTTGATTGGGATAATCTGCATGTCACCCGCGAAACCGTTGGCTAGTTTGCGCAGCAGAAAATGCGAATCATAGCCAGTCAAATTGTGAAAAACTACCGGAATAGCACGATTTTCCACGTAATTCAAATTACAATCTTGATGTGCGGCACCGCGAAATTCACCCGTCAAATGGGAATGATCCCTTACTTTAATGGAATCGGAATCAAATTGTTTTTCACAAATGTGACAAATGTGCGTATTTTGAAAACGTTGCTCCTGTTCAGCAGTCATATTCAACGGAATTATATTATTGAGATGTTGGGCAGCAAATTCAGCAGCAGTTTTCATCTGATCTACAAACCAATCGATACAGTCAGGACCACGTTTACTCGCATAAAATGATTTCGACTCGTCAAAAGAACATTTAAAATAATACCCGACACTGTAAACTTCATGCTCCTGATAAGCCGCAATTTCTCGCTTTTTGCCTTTGAAAACTGGCACATCAGGTACTTTTAATAGCGCTTCGACATCGGCATAAATTATGAATGGGCATTCAAGCTGATTCTGCCAATTCTTGAATTGGATTATATTTTTATCCTCCGCTGGCATCTCAATTGCGAACTCGTTCTGTCTCATACATTGATCGATATGTTTTTTCAGTTTTTCCGAAGTTTGAAAAAAATTCAAGCATCGATCGCAGAAGTAATGTCTACATTTATGCTTCGTTACTTGAGCGGTTACCAATCGACTTAAATGCTTGATCCAACAATAATGCGATTGAATTTGCAAATTTTGATCCTGATTTGGTTTTTTTGGTCGTATTGCTTTCGTGATCAATAGTAGGTGAACATGATTTAACTTTACATTTTTTGTAACGCGAATTGGACGTATAAATTTATCATCACCTTTGACTTCGTACATGTAAATATTTACGGATATTGTTGGATTGAGTTTTTCAAATTTATCTATTTGATTCAGTTTCATGGGGAATTCGATTCCAGTAAAGTTTAAATCATCTTTATATGGTAAATAATGAAATAACCGGTTGGGGTTCCACTTAGCTTCATGTAACTTTGATAATATGGCCCATTTGAAACACATTTCATCATTATTGACAACGTTTATTATTGCATGTTTTGATTTCAAGTAATTGGGTAGATCAATAAACGATGATCCCCTCCACGGTTCATATTTATTCACTTGCACAACTAACTCGCTGATATCAGATAGGGTGAATCCCGACCCTTTAGTCACAACATCATCAATTTGACTGAGGATATATTTCGTAATTTCTTCACGAAAAAATTCAGCCAAATCCGTATCAAGATCTACAATTTCACTTTTTGTCTGGATATAAATTGTTTGTTTTTCTTTTAATTCACCAC